TGGGAGGAATGACCACTGGACTGGGAAGGTCTCCTGCCCCCTTTCACTCTCTCCGGTGACCCACTGGAAAGGGCCTCATGCCGATGGGTAGCAAGAGGACTCCGAACAAGACACGGTAGCATGCCTCAGTGTCAGCCTCACAGATCTATGTGTTGAGGCTTGTAGCATGTAATGCATATGAAAGCCATGTGAGGAATTTCAGCTATTGAGCAAAATCTCCCCTGATGAGAAAGGACATGCATGAAGGATAGCCTGTTGGAGAGAAAGGGTCAGAGCCAACAAGACGGGAAAGAGCAGCTGGCATTGCAGCCTCGGTCTGGGAGTAAAGCCCAAGTCTGCCACTAACTAGTGGTATGAATATGAGCGAATCTTTAACCATAGGGGCCTCAGTTTGTTCAGCTGTGAAATAAAGGGGTTGGCCTCAGCGATAACTAGGATACTTTTCAGCCCTGCGAGTCTGAGTTTTAATGAACTGGAACAAACATGAAGCCTTAGAAACATTTCCAACCTCCAGCCTGAACCCAACTGGTATTTTACTGTCAGTCCCTATTATCAGTTCTAGTTAAATTTTGTATAAAAGACACATATTTAGTCATGGGGTAGTGCTGATTAAAAGACAGACGGCTGCAACGTTTTCGGAGCTCTCTGTATGGCTTACATGGGAGCTTCATTCTGAAGTTAGGCTGTACGTGGAAGTTCAGGCTGCCTTAGAGTCAACTTAAGAGTCATAGATTCTCAAGGCGATGAGTGTTTGCCCAAACACTCTGCCGCTGAAAGTAATATTTGGTCATTTTGAAGTTACACACTTTAGCAAGAAAGTTGGATATCATATTTTTTTGTCCCTCCTCTCCATGTGAAAGGTTTACTATGGGAAGTGTGAATTGTCTTCTGGTTATATCTGTTTATGAATAGCTGTTGTAGTTATGTGAGGTGGCATTACCAAAGAGGACATAAAAGGAATGAGGCTTAATAAGACTGGGTAAATATCGGGGGCAGGGGCGCGTGATGACTAAGACATGCACACTGGAATCAGGAAATCTGGGTTCAAACCTTTGTAGGTCAAGCATTTGGCATGATGTAAGGCACAGTGCCAGTACCCAAACGTTGCATCGGTTATTATGCAAGATAGGAATAGACCAGCATAATAGTCGTCGTCTTATCGGTGAACGCTTCTGTGAAACACCTTATAAAAAAATAATTACCTTTCACCATAGTAGGTATTAAGTCAGCTGAATCAAATGCTACAGGTTTGAGTTGGGCACTAAAGCAGAGTTTCCAGAGACCATCCTCATTTCCTGTTATCTGCAAAGTGTTTCTGGCGGAAGTGGCCCAGTCATCTGCACATGTGGCTGCTGGTAGCAGAGCACGAAGGACTTGGGGAGGTATTTCTATGTATGGCTGAGTCCCATGGGCATTCACTTCCAGTTTGTTGAGTCTGAGGAACCTGTGACTCTGAGCAGTAGTGCCAGACTTCTGTTTGTGCTAGCAGTCTGAGGACACCTGAGTAAGCGCCTGCTCACCTGACATGCGTACGTGTGGAGTTTTGTTTTTTTGTCATCGGATTGTCTGGTTTGAGTTTTTCTTATATTGTGAATACGTAGGTGCGGTGAAGAAATTTTCTACCCTGAAAAAAATAAGTGAAGTAGACTTTATCTCTTGATTCTTAGTATTGCTTAAGATGAGTTCATCTGGGCTGGAACAAAGATAATGTGAGACATGATGCCAGGGAAGTTAGGGGAATCAAAAGATTTTGGAAAGAGACCTGAGCAGTAAAGACATTTGCATCCACACGGTGGCTCTAGAATTGGAAAATCAGTGTCATAGTTAAGGATGACACACACACCTTGGCTGTATAGACCAAGGTAAGCTAAATTGTAACTTCTAAAATCAGGTTGCCAACACATAGCTCAAAATTTTAAAGTAAACACTCTTTCCTCCTCTTCTAAATTTAACAAAAATATCCTTTAAAATCATTTCTGGGGTTTCAGAGTAAACCATGAGAGCATAGCTTTACTGGTTAAAAAAGAAAGAGTTATTTAGAACAGAGGCTAGCGCAGACACCTTGATACATCTAGGAAAACATAGCATAATGATGGTGAGTCTGTCTGGTTAGTCTTCATTTTACTCTTTCTAAACAGATGTGGAACAGTAGTAGTTGGTGATGTTCTTTTTCCCTAGGAATTAAATTTTGTTTTACGAACTGGCATCAGGGGCTCTGGAATCAGAGTGGAGAGCTCAGATACCAACTCGACCATTTTCAAACTGTGGAGACTTGGGCTCATTTTTTATTCTGAGCTTTTCTCATTTTAAAATGTGGAGATTGATACTTACCTCAAAGGTTGTTGAGAATATTAAAGTGCTTCAGAGAAGACGTACTACCTAGTAGGTGCTTATTAAGTTTTAAATGTACTTAATAAACTAGGAAGTAATTTAAATCTGAAATTTTAGCATTGAAGTGCAGAAGTTAATATACAAAACAATTGTGTGATTCTAGGTGACTTGGGAATTTTGAAAACGCGTCTTGCTGTTGCTTCTCTGTAGCCCATTGCTAGATGAACTTTTCCCACAAACGCTTGAGAATAAATAAACACTGAATTTGAGGAATATTTAAGACCTTAACAAATCAGCGCCTTCTCAAAATGGTGGTTGAGTAATGAGGGTCCATTTCCATTATCATTATTTACTGTATGTGATCATATTACAAATGCCAGTAGCTACTGTTCATTTGTGTTTTCTAGGTGGCAGGTGCTCTCCTAAACACTTTATAAGCATCATCTCATTTAATCCCTGAAATAACTTGAGCTGTAGGTATTATGGCCTTCATTATACAGATGAAAACATGAGGCACACACTGTTTTAGTAATAGGTCTAAACTTCCATTGCTGGGAAAATGTAAAAGGCAAGGTAGAGCCTTCTCAAGTTAGCTATCCATGCTTTGCTACCACCTAATAGGGAGGATAGGTTAGCACTTTGAAGTGCTAGCACCATAGAGAGTCTGTTGAGGGAATGGTTCTTCTGGAGACTTCTGGAGGCCCAGCCCTGGGATGTATCAGGTCAGGCCCCCTGGGGCACTGGAGTCACACTCCGGGCTCCTGTTTTGCTTGGTAACCGGACTGTGCAAGTTGGGGCCACTCCCACTCCTCACTCCTCACCCCCCTACCCACCCGTCACCCTGAGGAGGTGGAGGGACGATGGTCAGCATTTGCACCAGCAGTCAGTGTAATCTTGCAGGAAGGTCTGCTCGGAGGTGACCAGCTGTGCAGGACCAGTTCTTGGGGGTCTTACTTTTCCACTGCTTATGTAGGCTTTGGGTGCATTGGCTCTGTGTATTTTGGGTTTCCTATTCCCATTACATCCCAGAGGCATTTGCCATATTTGTAAAGATCAAATAAAAGCAAGTAAAGGAGCTATTCCAACTGTTGATCACACACAGGTGAAACTTTGTGTCGGTGGAATTAAGTTTTCCCATCTACACCATTGTCATACTTTTTTCAGTCTGATTCCTCTCCTATCCTCATGACTCCACAGCCTCTTTTTAACGTGAACAGTGACAGATGGCAATAAGTCCAGCTGTGGACAGTAATCTAGACAGCAGAGGGCTTTTTTAAGGCAGATCAGTAGTTTGCTATTTTCCAGAGTATCCTATTGGAACACAGATTCTGTAGAAATATGGTGTTAACAGGTTACCAGTTGGAGCACTAAATTAAATTTTCACCCGCAAAATATTTGTCCATAGTAATTTAAATCATTTTTTAAATTCTGTTTACACATGTGGGGGCAGTATGGTACTATAAAGCAAATGCTGTGGTGTCGTGTTTATTTTTATTGGTATATAATAGTGTTTAGGTGAGAACTTCTAGACTTGGTGATTGTAACCGATACGGCTGTCTCTTTTTAAAATGTGACACACACATGTGGTACCCTCCCTCATAGACACGGATCACATGGCTGTTTTTATTCAGATGCACAAATATAATAATTTCCTGGCAGTGGTGGGGCTTTCACGCAGTGCCTTTTATTGTTTTATGCTTATGTTTTGTTTAATGCTAGCTGGCTTCCTTCCTGTTTCTTGCTTCCACCTGAGGAATATCAGCCCTCTGGAGGTGCCATGCCTGTTAGGTTGCTGTCTCTAAATATTTTATTTGATGACTTTAGTTGAAGGCTGAAGGGCCTCCAGTGTTGTTAGGGGCAAGAAAAACCTCTAAACTCAGGTCTTGGCAGCCATGGAAGGCCTATTATAAATCACCTCTGTATGGCATACTCCCCTTTATGGTGCAAATTGCTTTTCTCAAAAGAAAAAACAATTTGTTTTCTAATGAACCAGCACATTTTAATTAATATGATTATTACCGATATGATTATGAATGACACTGTAGATAATCAAGGTGCTAATATTCTAAGTTTCATAAATGGAAGGGGAATTATTAAGAGATGTTGGAGGGCATTAAGTGAATTGATCAAATCTGTAAAACATTTTATAAAAAATGTACATGGGAATCTGACAGGTAATTTCATAAGCACAAGCTGTTTTGAAACATGTAAAAAATATTTGCAGTCATATGTTTCCGTTTGTGTGGTTTGAAAAAAAAAATGAGACCAGCCTTTTGGCATAAATATAACCCTGTGTGAAATTTAATGGGATATTTGTTTTTAATATTTTATCCTGGCTACTTCCTTTGTGGATGAAGAGCTGTGGCATTGTCTACACCTGGTAAAGATAATTATGCTTGTTTAGTTTGAGAATGAATTTATTTTGAAATAGAATGATTTGATGTTGCTTGGACTTAATTTTAATGAGAAATGTTATTTTGAAATCTTCTGTTAAAAATAAAAAGAAAAGACTCATGACCTATACCCCAAATTTACAGGAATGGATTTTTGGCTCCTGCCCGTTTTTGGATGAACTCCAAATCAAATGTTGTTTGATGCTGGTTTGCTGTTGGAATACACAGATTTCTGTTCTAGGGAAACAATTAATGTTCTTTATGCTTTGATGGCAGATTTTTCGGACCCGGCCTGATGACACATTCCTTGAGTCAGTCTCCCTGTCAGCATCACCCCCAAATGCTCCACCGAGGCAGTCAAAGAGACAAGGCCAGAGAACCAAGAGACCCGTGGCTGTGTATAACCTTTGTCTTGAGCTGGAAGATGGTAAGATGTTCACATTTTTCTGCTTGACAGCATGTGGAGAATATGGCGTATGTCCCCAGGGCAGGCCCTGGTTTTCCATCCTTTGTGTTTTCATTTCTTTTCTCTTGAAGATTATACTATTTGAGATTAACAGGGAGGGCAGAGCTTTCTTGTCAGGGCGAGAAGGCGAGTTTCAGCTTTGTGTTTGTCTTTGCTATGCAGGGTTCTTTTTATATTTTTAAAAGGCAGCTTAAATTTCTTTTTTGGGAGACTTGTGTGACCTCCTGTGAGGTTACATAACCCTGAGACAAACGGAAGGGAAACTAAAATTAAAGTAGATCTTTTATGAGCAGTGCAGATAGAGGCTGATGTTAAATGCTTCTAGATTAAAGGCACAGTTCACCGTTGCACTGGCGTTGATGACTTCCGCACCTTACTTGCCCCGTTTTTCTGATTTCCTCATGAGGCGGGTAGTTCATGATGGGGCAGGGGATGTGACTGACCTGAATTTGGGGGCCTGGCTGAGTGAACTGACTACAGCGGGACTCTGGTAAATGGAAGTTCTCATGTCCCATCCACACTATTGTGGTCCAGCTAACTGTTGTCATATGACCATGTTGTCTCAGTATTGCCGGCTTGCTTACTTTTTAAACAGAGCCTGGGAATTTGAATTTTAAATACTGAACCCTACAAAACAAGACAGCACGCCATGTAGAGGCCACTGATGGCTGATTTGTCCACATGTGGTGACTGGTGTGGAGAATAAGGTGGTTCTGATGGCAAACCCTGCGTGTGCAGCGTTTGTGTCATGAACTGTGGCTCTGTTGTTATGGGACTTAATCCCTGCTGAGGACATTGTCTGAATTTGAAATTGGTCTTCCTTGTCCGTCCTCATCTTCTTATTTATTTATTTATTTATTTACCTTTTTATCTCCGATTATCCTTTCAAGCAACTGAGGTTATATTGGTTTGGAAGTGTGAGCTGATGGTCCAAGGGAGGAAGGGAATGAAGGAAGAGATATAGTACCTTCATCAGCAGCCGCTACACAAGCAAAGGTCCAGATAGTTAATATCCCAAGATCCATGCAAGCAAGTGACAAAGTGTCTTCAAATCAACTGACTCAGAGGTGTCTGCAGGACTCAGAATCCTTCCTGTAATAACCCTGGGGCAAGATGTACTGGTAGTCTTTTAAATCATTTAAGATATATATCATATGCTACAAGTATTAGTTTTACAATCACATCCTTGTTTTTCAGAGGAGGGGCATGAATCATTAAAATCAACTTAAAATTTCAGAGCTTCCTTTCAGACATTAGTTTCAACTTCTGTTCCCGGCTAACCTTTATACTCTCTCTCTTTTTTTCTCACATTCATTCTCCCTCTGTAGAGCTGCTAATAAGGAGTAAAACTGACTGATTTGAATTGCACCTTTTCTTATGTCGCACTTATTCTCAGGTGGAAGTGTTAATAAAGAGTGAAAGAGGGAAATGTTGGAAAGTAGGCGGGGAAAAAAAATTAAAAAATCAAGAAAACACGCAATAATACCTACATTGGCTCAAAACCGAACTGACTATATTTCCATTAAAAAAACAAACAAACGACTTTTGTCTTAGAATTACATCAACTATTTTGGTATTTTTAGGAATTGAATCACAAATTCATGCATTGAAACTAATCACATGTACATAGGGTATTAATCTTCTGGTGATTGAGTTGCTAAGTGATTATAAATGGGTAAGAAGCTACTGAAGTGGTATTCAGCACATCTTTTATGGAAATACTCAAAATGGTGTGTGATTGTAGCTTTCCTAATTTTTAGGTCATAATAATTCTTAAAAATTATGTGATTATAAGGAAGAAGAAGATTGTCAGATTTGTCAGCCATTCGGCTGCTTCAGTCTGTTTTTATGTGTTCATCATTTATATGATCTTACATTTTACATTTTGTATTTCATAACTTGGCATTAATACTTCTTGATTATAGCCTTGAATTTTTTTTAGGGGGGTGGGGGAGTACAGGATATTGTCAGAATCAGGAAAGCCCATAATTTTGGTCATGGAGTGATTTTATCTTAGAGGTGACAAGATAAAACAATGACAAACTATTACATATCCCCCCAACCCCATTATTTGTAGCTAAGCTTTAGTAAAACTTAAGTTATGTGAAAAAGAATTATTTCAGAGAGAATGAAGTAGGGGAATATTTTGCATATTCTAAAAAAAGGGAAATAAATGAAGAGAGGTGGCGTACATGCTTTTGAAAGAAGGCATACAGGGAAAGGATACTAAAAAACTGCGTTATTGTGTATCACTTAGCATATTGAAGACTCTATCCTTTTTTAAAAAAAATCCATTCTTATCGCTAGGACTTAATTTTTTTTTTTTCTGTAGCCTGAGTCATATAATTATCAACTGTACTTGAAGATTCAAAAGTTTGTCTTTTATTATATTTTTCTTATTGATAGTAGTGGAGCCGCTTCCCATGTTTATCTGGTTTTGGTTAAAGTGTGCATTTTAGCCAACTTTGGTTGATTATTTTTCCAAAAGCTTTAGTTCATATGAGCCTGATAGAAAATTTAAATGCAAATATATCCTTTTCCCCTTCCCCCCAATTTACTTGCTGTAATATAAATTAAATTTGACTTAATAAAATCCAGGGCAAATAATATTTTGTTTAAAGTTAGGTAGACTATCCGCTAAGGTTCAGGGAACTAGAATGGATAACTGGAGTTTTTGTCCAGCCCTGCGATTTGGTCACAGATTTGGTATTTGAATGAAGTGGTTTGTGGTATATTATTTCATCTTCTGCATGGGGTAGGGTATGAAACTATGATGTACCAAATGGCCAACCCTGGAAAACATTCAGTTGGTTTCAGTGTAACATAAGGCAGATCAAAAAGTTATTATTACCAAAGACTTAGCAAGCCTGTTATGTTAGCATGAGCCTGAAGCAGAGAATCCAAGCAGGCATGAAATAGGAGAGAAACTCTGCTGTTAGACATGATTTTTATTGTGTTATATTTAACCCCACTGGACCTCCAATTGAGAGATGACCAGTTTAATTGAAGACACTTAGTATCTTTACTTTTATAAAGACTTTGGTTGACTTTAGCACATTTAGCTATAGTACACACATGATGCTCATTATTTTTCTTTGTAATTTATGATTGAATGATATTAAAATTATTCACAAAAGACTTTAAAATTCTAGTTACTTAAGGATCTTTGTTGATGATTATTATGAACTTAAATGATATAGTATCTAGCTAGATTTTTGAAAATAGAGCAGCTGTTAAATCTTTACTGACATTCTTTGTTCATTATTTTGTAGAAGCCATATTGTTCATTTTCATAGCATTTAATAATCTCACCAACTTCAAAGCTGAGCAGATTTGGCCAAGTCAGTTGTGAAATAGCAAAATACGAGGTAGGCTGCTAAGTGCTAAAAAGAAGATGAAAAATCAAAGGTTGCTTTCATTTCATTCTCAAGTTATCTGTGTGTGTTTTTATTCCTGTAGCACTGGTAGTAAAGTAACTTCAAAAAAGTTTAGTGTATGTTGTATCTTTGTTTTCTCCTGCCCACTCCAATTTTATGTCCTCACTGCTTCTGTGTAAGAAGAGATTGTTATGTTTGTAGTAAATCCTCCAAGTACAAGGAAAGGTCGTGGGGCTATATGAGATATATTCTTTGTTGAAGAAAAATTTTAAAAGAAGGTTTGGGGAGTGAGACGACTATTATCTCAATTTTGACTAAGCTCTCCCTTTCTTCCTTTATGCTGGCTCTTATTTTAAATAGAGCTAGACAGTCACAGGGCTAGTTGTTTGTATCTTCTTGGGCGGTTAGGTATTCTGTGCCTATCTTTTTTTTTTTGTACATGATAGAGCAGTTTATTTATGTAGGCAACTTAAAAAATATGATTTATAGCAAGTTGAAAACAAAATCACCTCGTAAGCCAACTGGCAAGATTTCTCATTATTTCAGAGTGGGTCTTCCTTGGGTATCGTTGAGTTGGCACTTTCACACTTGGATCTTGGATGTGCTAACTGCAGCACATTTTGTGGAATGTGTTATAGTCCTACGTGGTTGGTAGATGCCATGATGGGGGTGCAGAGCCTTATAAGCAAAAAAGTGAAAATACAACTGTTGAAGGGGAGATGGTTAGGCAGTGAAACATGATCATTTTTTTTTTCTACCCTAAGGAGGAGCATATCCTGATAGGGATCTGTCTCTGAAATCAGAGTGGGACAAAGCTGTCTGCAAGCATCAGGAAAGCCGCGGTAAAAGGCTGGTTAACTAATGTAGGCCTAGGCCCTGATGTTGGCTCAAAGAAGCACTAGGGATGGAAAAGAAAATGAATATCTGGGGGAGATGTTAAAGCAAGTTGTTGGGACTTCTCAACTGATTGGATGTGAAGGATGAAGGCAGGTAATCATCATCAGACACATTTTAGGCTCCTCGGTAAATCTGTCCTTGTGTTTATGTCTTAAGTTTTGCCCTGATATTTTTTATTTTTTTAATTTAAACATTTAGACCATCTTTTCAACAAAAGAAAGGAAGTGTCTCATTTTGTTAATGCTGTCAGTACATATTGCTCTAAAGAACTGCTTTGGAAAATAGGTTTAGTAAAAATAGTGTAAAATATATTGGTATACATAGCATATGTGGAAAATCAGTGGAAAGAGAAATATTAAATCATTACTCAAATGTTATGTCTTGTTAGAGAGAGAATAGTCTCTCTATGAACAAGGAAGAGCTCATTTTTCCCCCCTACTCTCCCTCACAGACATATGCTCACGCTGATTCACAGGTGCGTCCTAAAGTATGGGAGGCAACTATCCTAAAAAAAAAGCATTTATTTCAGTAGAAGTCAAGGATGGATAGGTGACAGTCATGGCAGCTATGTATTCGCTAATCTCAGTTCCCAAGAGAGTATCTTTAGAAACCACCTT